GCACAACTTCATCCTCAAAGGAGGAACTATCTAAGGTAGCAAACCAGGTACACCAATGAGAATGCTAGGTATTTGATTAAACAGTTCAGGGAAGAATAACTATCAAAAGCAACTTATCACTGAAAAAGTAAAGAAAATATGCAAACTGATAGGATGGAAGGCAACCATAGATAAGCAAATGTGAACATCATAAACTATGTACTCATGCCAAGCATAGAATATCTTTTGAATGACATGGTACTGCCAGAAAGCGCATGCAACCTGTTGATGGGGAAGATTGCAACAAGATACAAACATAAGTGTGGTCTCACCTAAACCTTCCCCAATACTCTTCTTTATAATCATACTAAACATAACATAAATCACATTTGAGATAGACAGATGCAACTACATGCAAAAAACTGGATAGGAAGAATGGAAAATGAGGGGATACTAGGACAAGTCTCCAGGATGGGATTTCAAAATCTACAAAACCTTTTTTGGTTAACCAATACAGTAATAATGCATCTCACCCAGCTTTTTCTTAGAGCAGGATAGAATCTAGACTATAATATCCTGTGAATACTAAGAAAACATGGCTTCCAGTTTCAATTGAATCCCAAATTTCTAATCCCTTAGAGAATAAGGAAGATAGACAATACAATTGAAGAAGCAGTCACAGAGTCCATGTATAATCAATACAGACATATTTTACAGAAACACAACCTAATGTTTGTGGGACAAGTAATCAACTCCACAGGAACAAGGACACTACACTGGAGAGAACTGGGCACTATAAATAAAATAAGGAAAAGAGGCAGCCCAAAATGGTATAAAAACCTCATTGCAAGGCTTACAAGCACAGCCAGAGTACAAGACAGAATGGAGGACATAACACACAACCACTTGACTTTCGATCAAGGCAGATCATGAACAACTATTAACACATACAGTCCACACTGGGGGGCCACATTAAAACAAGACAAAGTAGTCATAGACAAGAAGAAATACAACAACAGCCTCAACACAGTAATTTTCACACACCACACAAGGACAAAAGAACAACAATCACCGATAGAAAAATGTAAAGAATGCAATCTTAACGAAGGAAAGAACACATTACCAGAATCATGTACTTTCTCAATCAAAAAACAGTATGCAGTTCAGATCCCAATAGAGTATTCAAGTATATCAACCAAGAAAAACAAGGACAAGACCATAGCCACACTGCGTTGCAAATTTTCTCCAAAGTCTACCACCAAAGAACTCAGCAACCTAACAGAAACGGTACAAACAGAAAGACCTTACATGCAACTTAATATAAACAACAACAACTGGAGAACAATCGACTTCAGCAAGTTCTTTACTCTCAACAAGCCAGAACTGAATACTCTGATTATGATCCAAGAACAAATAAGAGATTGCAGGCTAGCCACGATCTATACAGATGGATCAGTAATAAACCATGGAAACTGGCCACACATGGGCTTCGGTTGAATAATCAAAGATGAAACAGGAACTAAGCATTCTTTTCAAGGACAAACTCAACTACATGCCTCCTCAACGAGGGTAGAAATAATGACAATAACAATGGCAATATGCACTTTCAGCAAGAACATGACAGTACACCTATACACTGATAGTCAAACAGCAATAACAAACCTAACAGAAATCCTGAACCCCACGAGCCTCAGGCAAAAGAAGAAACCCAACCAGGCAATAATTAACACTTTTAATCATATTAGAAAACAACAGAATCTGCATATAACTTTATATAAAGTAAAGGTACACTCTGAAATCCCCCTTAATGAAGAAGCAGACAAGCTAGCCAGGATCGATCCTACATCACAACACATGAAACCCAACTGGAAGATTATAAATATAAAGAAATAATACTAGAGGTCCTCCTCATAGAAACAACATGGGACACAACAATGATAAATATTCCAGAAAAGAACCTAGTAAAGCAAGTCAAAAAGGCTATCAGACTGACTAAGTGGAAATTACTCAATAGAACATGGAATAGTTTCATAGATAAAGAACTCAGAGACACATATTGAGAGTACACATTCGCCACCTTATACCCATCCAAAATGAATGCACATAACACATCAGGCCAAGACCATTATATGTGAAAATTTGGATTCAACTTTTGGTACGAAGAGCTTCCAACCCTATACAAACTACATAACTGATTTCCCTTAATCTACAAAAACAATAAATACCCTAATTGTGGGAGAATCAAAGACACAATACACCACTTCGTATGTAGCAACAACATAGAAATATTAAAGAAGAACTTCCACAGGATACTAATCAAGAATGTCTTATCACAAGTAAAAAAGGAACACAAGAAAACATTCAAGAACACCATATACAGGCAGGTCCAGCTGAACAATTCTAAGAAGTTCAGACTACTGATAAAAGGGGCAATTCTAAAAGAAATTCCACGTGTACTTAAAACAATCTTAATAGACAGGAAGGTTAAAGTCAAGACCATTACAAATACAATGAAGGAATGGAAGGAACTACTATATGATATATGGAAAATAAGATGTGAGGCAATACAGGAGCAAAGGAAAGTACAAGGCATACAGGGATGAAACAAATGGATAAAAATCAAAGCAGGGAAGTATAAAAAGTAAGCGAATCCAGTGGTGATACAACAATCCTTTTTAGACTTGACTAAAATAGTAAATAGCTACATCAATGGCTACATAAAGTATTAAACAAACATTTTTTCTCTTTTATCCTTTTATATGATAACTAGCATGGTCTTGGCATGTTAGTTTCTCTCCCTTAGGGGAGGGGCAACAGGCCATGAGGTAACAAATAACTTATTGGGTTTTACTATTATTGAATATAAATCGCTGTACTGTAGTCTTATTATATTCTACATATATAATTTAGAGAAAATAATAAAACGAGGCTGCACCAGTCAAAAAAAAAAAAAAATTTAAGTTAAATTTTAGAAAGAATATTATATTTTCTTAATAGATTGATTATAATCTTTATTTACTAGGATTATTGTTAATAATTTGTTACTATTAAATAATTTGAAAACTAATAAATTACAAGTTAAAAAGAAAAAAAAAAATAATTGGAAGAAAGGAACAATTTAAGATTTATCAAAAAAGTTCAAAAATAAAACCAATTTTTTTCAAAAGACATCTACTTAATTGAAATGTCTTTTTGTTTTACTTAAACCTTAAAAAAAATCTTTTTATTGCTATTTATAGTATTAGAAAAATTAATTCAATCGATTTTTTATTTAAATGAGCACGGAGTTAAAATATTTCAAAAAAAATATTTAAATCTTAATTTTTTCTATTAAAGTTTTATCATCAACTAAAGCATTTGAGTAAGAGATATAAGTTTGCAATTTATATTATTTATTATTTAATTTTTTGGTGTTATGAATATTTTTATTAAAAAATAAAAACTTTTGAAAGCAAAAATTTTCAAAAAAATTTTTTTAATCACCAAATAACATTATCAAAATGTATAAGTGTAATTAATAAAAACTTTTTTATATTTTAAAAACTAATATATTTTATATCAATTAATTATCTTTAATAAGAATCTGTACTATTCAAAATTTAAGATCCAATTGAGATAAATAAAATTTTCTAGAAAACTATGAAAATAAAAGCTTTAAAAGGGTCAAGATAGTTTAAAAGAAAGAAAATAAATCTTTTTTTATTATAAAAAATCTTTATAAATTTTTCATTTTAAAGATTAAGTATTTCATAATTAGTTCTTTTTCCTTTAGAAACTTTTATATCATTAGTATTAAAAGTGTTACTTGATTTTTTTTGGTTATTAGAAGTCAAGTTTTTGAGTGAAAAGGGTTATAAATGAAAGAGAAATAATAGAGATGATCCTTAAAATTATACTTCAAGTTGTTTTAGGAAATGTATTAAGACTTTAAGTAAAAAAATTTTTTGTAAACATCTTTTTTATATATAATTAAGGAATCAGTAAAAAGAATTTTATAGAATAATTTATAATAATAATAATATATAGTATATTATATATAAAGAATAAAAAAAAATTATTAAATATTTGATAAAATATTTTATTAATAAAGTAGAAATAAAAAATTTTGAAATAAAAGTAAAGAAATAATATTTAGAAAAATTAATAAAAGTTATAAAAAAAAAATAAATAAATAAATTTTTTAAAAAAAGTATACTTAATAATAAATAATAAAGAAAAATTGTATTTAAATATCAAAGTTAATTGAATAAATTTTTATAACTAGTTAAAATATATTAAATTTTTGGAAAGATTTTTTTTTTTAAAAAAAAAAATTATTGTATTATAAAAAAAAAATTAGTTTAAAATTTTAAAAATAGATTATAAAGATATTAAAAAAGTATTAAATTATTTTAAAAAATGAAGTTGAAATATAAAATGTAAAGAAATAAAAGCAAATTCAAAAAATCTTTTGAATCAATAAGATTTAAAGATTAGAAAATATTTTGAATTAATAAAGACTTAATTAAATCAAATTTATTGTATATAAAATAAAATTAAAATAAGTAAGGTTAATTAAAGAATTAACTTCAATAACATATATTATATCTATATATAGTTTGCAAAAGTTTAATATAACCAACTTGACAATAGATTAAGAAAACAAAAGAAAAAGTATAAGTTAATGCTTATTTTTCTTAATAGTGTTTTTGTTTTTGATAAATATAATAAAATTATTTTGTATATTGTAATTTATTAAGAAAATTATCAAAAAAAAAATAAAAATTGTTTTTATTAAATAATAAATATTTTACTTATTGATGTATTGAAAATATACATAAATACAAAGTATTCTCTTAACTTCAATTTTATTTTTAATTAAAATATTCTCTTGCTTATTAACTTTAATTCCAATACAGTATTTTATGATTAAAAAAACAATAAAAATATACTGTGCATTCCACGTATTACACAGCACAGATTTATTTCACATGATTAACAAAGCGTGAAACTTTCGCACCTCAGAAAAATCATTTGAAAAAATGTCGGTGAAACCACCAGAGGAGGAAGAACTTCAGATCGAGAGGAAATACCTCAAGGAAAAAAAGATCGGAGAGGGAACGTACGCGAAAGTGTACAAAGGTATTCTTCTGTCACCTTCTGACCTAAATCACTTGCTCCAGTTGTATCCTATCTAACTCTGCGTACAGGTACTGAACGCGAAACTGGTCGTGCTGTTGCTATTAAAAAAATTAAACTCGTTCAAACTGAAATTGGTTTTCAGGGCATAGAAATATCAGCCGTGAGAGAGGTAAAGGTTCTGCGAGAACTGAGACACCCCAACATCATCGAGGTCAGTGAGTGAGTGGGTTGTGCTTTGTACGGATGGATCGAGTTTTGCCATTAAGTGATTTTTACGTTTCATGAAAAATTTTTTCTTTTAACAATAGTTGATTGACATCTACTCTCACCAAACAAATTTACAACTTGTGTTGGAGTATCTGGACTCAGATCTGGAAATGATAATTAAGGACAAGAGTCTTGTGTTCATGTCTGCTGACACTAAAAGCTGGATGTTGATGACATTACGTGGTTTGGATCATTGTCATCGAAATTGGATCCTTCATCGTGTATGATATCTGATCAGACGAACAATTATTTTGATGTTTCCATACGTTACGTTATCACTCAGATGTTTATTTGATACACAAAAGGACATGAAGCCAAATAACTTGTTGGTTGGAAAGGATGGTCAGCTGAAAATTGCTGACTTTGGTTTGGCACGTGATTTCTCGGATCCTCACGTCAAGAATATGTCACCGCGAGTGGTAACCAGGTAAAAATTTTGTCGTGTTCACACAACCTTCGAATACGGACTAAAAGATTTTTATCTACCGCAAAATGAAGGTGGTACCGAGCACCGGAACTATTCTTCATACCATCACAATACAGTTATGCAGTTGATATATGGTCAGTAGGTTGCATATTTGCCGAACTGATGTTGAGAACACCTTATCTTCCTGGAGAGACAGATCTTGGACAGCTTGAAACAATTTTTCAAGCACTGGGGACACCTACCGAGGAGGATTGGCCGGTATTGTGTTATTCTCATCACCTTTTTTTAATATCGTACCTACATCTGATGGTGGGAAAATACTTGCAAAATTTTAGGGATTTTCCGAGCTGTCGAAAAATGTCCGCTTCCAAAAATTCCCTAGGCCACCCCTGAAGCAACTTTTTACGGCCGCAGGAAATGATGCGATTGATTTGTTAGAAAAATTATTGACCTACGACCCAAACAAAAGGATCACAACGCGTGAGGTGAGTAAATGATGTCCCCTCCCCGCCACACCGGTATCTAATCAAAAAAAAAAAAAAAAATTAATTTCCAAAGCGATTTTTTATGTTCTTTTTAGGCATTGAACCATCCATATTTCAGGAACAAACCAAGGCCAACACCCCCGGAGCGTTTGCCCAAACAAGAAAAAAAGCCTTCGGAACAAGAAGTAAACTCAAATCAACTGCCAACGACTCGATTAGAACCCAAAGATCCAGGTAAAAACAAGCGAAAAGCTCAAGATTTAAGTGGTAATGGTGATAAAAAAATTATTCGTACTTAAGTGCACTTTGTCAATACCCTTTATTTAAAATTAATACATAAAAAGACCTCTTGCACAATACATTGGCGATTTAGGAATCACATGCATCTAGTCTTTTATATGATAATTATATGGGAATAATTAACGGATTGTATGAAAAAAGATTTCTATTCAGCTATTCAGTCAATGGTTAAGGTTTAGCAGTTTAGCACAAAAAACCTGTTTAATTGACGCACCAGTTAGCCAGTTAACGCAATTCGGCTTACCCCACACAATCTGTACATTTTGTGGCGTGGGATCTTGCATTGAAACGAGACCGGTACCGAATACAGAACCTTTGATCAGGGGTATGACGATCATACTGTATAAATGTATATTACAAATGCACGTGCGATTTGCGGTTTTGTAATTATAAAAAGGGCCACATTTTACTCCTTGCTTTTATCCAGTACAAAAGTACCATATGTATAAATATAATTCCTTTATATAATGTCAAATAGTCAAGAGTTTATACGCAACGGAACTAATAATATGTCTAGCAGTCAAGAGTTGATACGGCTCGAACACACTTACGGAGCCCACAAGTGAGAATCCTCTGCCTGCCTTGAGAACCATGAAAAGTTTTTTTTTTTTTTTTTTTTACTGGGTAATTGACATTATTTTTGTGTAGTTATCATCCACTACCGGTAGTATTTTCTAGAGGTGAGGGTGCTTATGTTTGGGATCCCGAGGGCAATAAGTACATGGACTTTCTGTGTGCCTATTCGGCTGTAAACCAGGGACACTGTCATCCAAAAATTGTGAAGGCCCTTTGTGATCAGGCTCACAAACTCTGCTTGAGCTCTAGGGCATTTTACAACGATGTTTTCGGCAGATACGCAAAATACGTTACCGAGGCAAGTTTCCTAAAGACTTTTTTAATGATTTATTCAATCTGCATCTACGTCTAATATCAAGTGTCGTCGTTACCTTAGTATTTTGGGTACGACATGGTCTTACCGATGAACACAGGGGCCGAGGCAGTTGAAACGGGGATCAAACTTGCTCGAAAATGGGGCTATATGAAAAAAGGAATTCCTGAAAATAAAGCGATCATCATCTCATGCTCAAACAATTTTCACGGTCGTACATTGACGATCATTTCCATGTCATCTGATCCAGATGCCCGGGGTGGATTTGGTCCTTACATGCCAAATGTTGGATCTGTTTGCCCTGTTTCTAAACGTGTTGTCAATTACGGTTCAGTCAGTGACCTGGAGGATGCATTGAAAGCACATGGTCCACATGTAGCTGGATTTTTGGTGGAACCGATCCAAGGCGAAGCAGGGTATGGTTGATCTCATCAATTTGTTGGTATACATTACACCGCGTCGCACCGTTCACCGCCAATTTTTTCGAAAACAGTATTTACGTTCCCGAGGACGGGTACCTGAAGAAATGTTATGATCTCTGCAAGAAGTATAATGTTTTGCTAATTGCCGATGAGATTCAGACGGGTCTTGCCCGTACGGGAAAAATGCTTTGTCAAGAGCACGACGGTATAAAGGCCGATATCACGCTGCTGGGTAAGGCACTCTCGGGTGGTGTTTACCCCGTGTCCGCTGTTCTCGCCAACCGAGATATCATGCTCTGCATCAAACCCGGTGAACATGGTTCAACTTACGGGGGCAACCCATTGGGTTGCGCCGTGGCCATTGCAGCTCTTCAGGTGATCAAGGAGGAAAATATGGTGGAAAGATCTGCAATATTGGGGGAAAAGTTTCGACAGGCCCTCCGTAAAATTAAATCTCCTCTGATCCTTGCCGCGCGAGGGCGCGGCCTATTGAATGCCATTGTGATCGACGAAACCAAGACGGACAAGACTGCATGGCAATTGTGCTTACTGCTCAAGTCTCGTGGATTGTTGGCCAAGCCAACGCATATAAATATAATCCGTTTGGCACCATCGCTAAACATCACCGAAGATGAACTAATGAAGGGAGTCAAGATTATCGAAGACGCGTTAAAAGACATTGCTAATATGAAGGCTGAAGACATTCCAGGATATAAGGAGGACTTGGAATTAACATCTCGTGTCACTTGACAGTTTTCCAATACAATATTTATCTTTAAAAAATCTGTTTTTTATAGAATACCAAATTCTAATGTAATAGATTCAAAGGATAACGTTAATATGCCATAATGATTGGGTTAAAGTCACTTGTCGTCTTAAAACGTTTGCACTCACTCATGTTAATCACGCGATACACGAACGTTGTCAATCTCGCCCGAAGCGGTAGCAGAAAAAAACGATTTGACATTCATTAAATACACGTGACAAATTGTGTCTCGATTATCGTTATCACTATATACTGTATATATATATATATATATATATTTTTTTTTTTTTTTGTTTATTAAACAATGCCCGATCCGTTCAAAGTTCGTTCCAAACTCTCGACGGTTGCAATTCGTATTCTTCTGGCTCGCGCAGCCAAAAAATCGGGACCTCCACCAGGAATTCCTGGTCACCAAAGTGGTAATATTACCGATACACGGTATCAATTGATTAAAAGAATTCTCTATGAAACCCCTAAACCCGAGCTTCCGCCGATGACCGAAGAAGATATCGAAAGGCATAAGACCATCGAGAGAGCTTGGAAGTTATTTGTGCGTAACCAACGTGAGAAACGTGACGCCGAAATGGCTGCCAAGTACAAAATGTTAGACAAAGCGATCATAGAACTCGAAAAATTGTCCGAAACAAATGAAAGTTCCAACAGAGACGCCTCCCTTGAAAGGTTGGAATAATGATTTTAAGTCTTCCTAAAGGATTCAAACCGACCACTCATAATGTATAGAATGCAGAAACAATTCATTTTGTTTTGCAAAAGAAATAAAGTAATTATAATTATTTGAATTTGTTTTTTTTTTATTTATGTATATATAGTATATATAAACTATGAAATTACATTATAGTAATT